CATTTGGTGTGCTAAACTGCACTCTAAACCTTATGTTTTCTATTTTGCTTTTTCCCACGGTATTTGATCAAATTACATGTACAATTAAAGTATGTTTGGTTTATTGCTACATCAGTCATGTTTCCACCACTTTCCTCCTAGTGATCCAACAGAACAAATTCTATTTATCTTGCTAGTTAAACCCAACTCTCCTGGAACTATTCATAAGGATAAGATTAGCTATTAATGTTCAAATACAATGGAAAGGTTGGTCCCACTTCAGTCCCTACCTGTATAATTGAAGTCTACTATATCGGCCACTTTGCATTTTGTGCACTAATATTATCAAATGCTCTATAAGCTTTAAGCACAGACTTAAGGTCTAGGGTCCCCACTAATTCATTTGATGCGTCGAGGAACAAAAATAGATAAAATTTGAATTGCATTGAGACAAAGTCGTTTATTGAATTTTGGCATGAACTTACTGGTTTTCGACTTGATTGAGTTGAGACTATACCTTTCAACAACCAGCTTTACCGAATTATGATGCTTTTGTTGGAGATTTAGGGCCACACACATGTAATCGACGCATCTGTTAATCCTTGAACTATTTTCAACTTTAAAAGAGTCACATGCAAACATATTACTATATTTGTAATGATTAATTTATATCGCATTACTTCCAAGTGAGATGGACTCCAATTGGCCCACTTAACCCTTTACCTACTGGCGTTTTAGCATATTCTAAGAGAGTCTTTAGACCGAATTTTGATTAATAAATTTGAACTTCTAGCAGCATATGCATGTGTTTGTGAGTGTGAGTTAGCAAAATATAATGTTGATGAAAACTAATCAAGAATAAATTAAATGTTAATTAAGTTATTGACAATTGCATTATTAATATTATATCCTACTATAATATCAGTGTAAGAATAAAATATCTTTCGCTTAATTTAAGTCAATAATTTATTTGCATCTAACAGTTCAGTTATATTATAAATTAGATCTATTAAATATAAATAAGATTAACCTTTAAAATTGAGAGTATAATCTATATATATTTTGAAAATATAATCGGTTCATCGCTTCGCGATTAGTTCGATTTGGAGCGGGTCCAGGATTAAAGCTTTAAACTCCTTCCAAAAGCGATATTGGAGAAGATTAAACACATACGTTCTTATCCCTATCTGCTCAGTTCCCATGCAATAACTGAACTACCACCATTTGGTATAACACACACATATATATATATATATATATATATGGGGAGGGATCTTTTGACTCTAGAGTAAGACTTACAACTCTTACTCCTCATCTCAACCGTTGATTTCCGTCCATCTAACGGTTATCTATAACAATTAATTATTTATTTATTTCAAATAAATAATAACCGTTAGATGGACGGAAATCAACGGTTGAGATGAGGAGTAAGAATTGTAAGTCTTAATCTAGAGTCAAAAGATCTCTCCCCTATATATATATATATATATATATATATATATATATATATATATTGACGTCATTGTTGTTGTTTATTGATCTCTTTTTTCGACAAACTCAAGTATAGGATGCCTATATATCAAGATAATAGATTGCATACATCTTTCTTGGCTTTTTGTTAACAAGTTGCTTATGGAATATATTACTGCTTCAATGAACAATTACAATCTGGAACAGTGTCTCTGATCTAGTAAATAAGACAAAATACTTAGTTAAACCAATCATAGCATCTCTCTTACGAAACCATGCTCGCGGGCTTTGTTCACCAAAATAAACAAATAAAAACAAGATGCAGAAATTCCAGCCTTGTATGCATAAAATGCTGGCTAGCAAGGCCAAGTTCTGAACGCATGTCCCCATGTAATTTATTGCTGAAAGAAAGACAAAGACTTTAGTCGTCATCTCAATTCTCACGAGTTAGAATAGATCTTGCAAAACAATTATTATATGATATAATTACTTGGGGAACGAGGAATACCCAGAATTGGAAAATATTAATTAGGAAAATGAAGCTCGCAAGTAAATTTTCTTAATATTATTTTTTCACCTACTAATTAATGATGTGTAAATAATATTTATTATTTAGTTAGCAAGTTAATAATCAATTATAATATGATAATTAATTGTTAACTCATTAACCAAAAAACATATATTGTTAACAAAAAAATATGCATACTATTATCAGATTTAAAATTAATGTGGAAAATTTAATAATTGATTCGCATTTCATACTTCTATAACTGTTTATGAACGTAAATTACTTGGTTACACATATCTTGCTACTTTGCGGGCTTGTCTTGTTCTCCAGTTTCCCCTTATAATAAATAAACTATTGAGATTTTTCTATATACACCACGCAAGCATGACGAATTAGCATGGTAGATTCTCACACAGGCCAGTCTGTGTCTTTGTTCATGGTCAAGGATTCCTGCACTTGGCCAAGCAACACCTTTGGGCGAGTAATAAATAATTTCAGGTTTCGGCATTTACATCACATGTAAGCGAGTATCATCATTTGCAGAACCTTAATATTCAATTTTTATTCTTGGAATTAGTTGCACTCAATGTCCATGCATTTCTGGTTTTATATCTATGGGGACCGTCCGATCCAAAAGTTCGTGACATGATGATGTAAAGCATATATATAAATATAATTATATACATGGTGTGTAAGATGACACACTAGGAGAGTTGTTTGTATTACAAAATGCATGAAGATAACAAAAAAAGCCAAACGACCTCTATAATCATGGTTGTGTTTCCAACATGCATGTACTTAAATTAAAACACAACCAGTTCAACCTTATGCAGGGCAGAAAAGGGAGTATGAATCTACCTGGAAACTGAGGTGGGTTTTGTCTCCAACTTAAAAAAAGACATAATCTAGATAAAGAAACTATTAAATATGGAACACAACTATATATAAAATATAAAGGATGGGTACACAGTCATAGGACCAGACAAGTAAACACAGAGAGAGGTGTGCGCGCTTTCTCCCATCTATGACGCATTCAATTTTATTTGAAAACTATGGCCAAACATCTATAATGAAGTCATGCACGTGACTCAAATACTATTCTCTCATCCTGAAGATAAATACATTTTTTTTTTTGGTTAGAAATATCATTTTATGAAAATATTAATTAATTAGTTTTCTATTTCAAAATTAATCGGGTTAATAGATATTTCAATATTATTATTATAACCAGCTCATTGTGATCACATTGAATTGGGCTTCTAGCATCTGTTGTTATTGGGCTTCTAGTGTGACCCTGATGTTCCATTATGGGTGGACCCAGTGGACACAGACTCTTCTTGGGTTATTAGTTAGGTCCCCTCTCTAGCCTATTTATATTGGAGTTAAACTCCATAAGCCATCATGCTCCCATCTGCTGAAGGCTGCCAATTTTTGAATAGGTTATAGAGAGGAAGACTCTGGCATCTTGTTCCCTTATTTCCAACCATTCTTCTCCAATTTTGTGATGGCCCAACAAGGTACACATAATTTCAACTCTGATTTATAATCATTTGGTATTTTATAATCATGTGCATGATTCATAATTTTAGATTTAACATTTTTGGCAGGAGAGACTTTAATGAATCACACATATATGACATTCATATTCCTGTCCATCATAGATACAGAACAAAGGAGGACCTGGACCACCCTTTAGGCTCCGTTAGTTTTCTCAAAATTATTAGGGACCCTAATCCATACCAGATTTAATCCGCACAGAGCAAAAGACTTATAGAAAGATTAGAGATTGGAAACTATAAATTAAAATTAAAGGATTTTATAAGAGTTATGTTGTAGGAAAAGTGATTGTGTTATGTTATAGGGATTCGTTTTGCGTGCCGAAGTTTTTTTTTTTTTTTTTGCTGCGGGCCCCACAAAATGTTGTGTGTGTAGAAAACTTTTTGTGATCATGTTAAATGATAGATGATAAACCCAAAATTAAAACATGGTTTCCTTGTTCCTCTAGTCTCATAACATTATAAGATTGATTTGATCAAAGCAAGAAAATAATAATAATAAAATGAAAAGTCACCGTTTTGTAATGAAATTGTCAAATTGAGGGCAAAAGTGAGAAGTGGAAATCGGTGTGCAAATAAGGTGGTATTATAGGTAACCGTCACCAAATGGTCATGGTGGTTCTATCTCACATGCCATTTTTTGAAAGGATTTAAATATTTTTATCATTGATTTATTATGCGCTCTAAATTAGTCTCGTAATTGATTTAAAGAGTCAAAACTAATGGAAAGAAAATACCAAAGAAGTCAATTCACCTTAAAAAAAAAAATTAGAATTAACTAAATTAATAACCGGCCGTTCGATGGGATTGGAAAACGAAGCAGATTATGATGGCAGGTTAGTCTATAAGAGTGGACCCCATCACGTAATTTGTTAGCCAATTTACTAACATGTGATGTCCCTAATTACAAGAAATTATTCACCTGTAGAATCCCTGTTTCTTTATCAAGATTCATAAACATTACATGTTCGGCCCAATTCAGTAATGATTTCATTTTAATAATCCAAGTATGTGTCACTTAGAAGTCATACAAGTGTACAAACTTTGGTGAACTCATCAAACTTTCATTATTCTTTGCCTAGTCATAATTTTAACAGAGGAGAAGCAACACGAGTTCCAGTTTACAAAAGAAACAAAAATACGTTATTAAATATACAATATTTTTTACTTCTTAATATATAGCAACACATTTCGCACATAACCTTATAGTACTCTCGTACTGACTTAAATTTCTTACACACTCTCTCTCTCTCTCATTCATTGTCATATCTTTGCTAGCTCCATCAAATAGTGATTCCCCCCCAGCTTCCACATCATACCCATAATCATCACGCCTCTTTCAAAACCCTTTCTTCCTTTTCTTTCTCTTTCTCCCAATTCCCCACCACGATTTCCCAGCCTCAGAAAAATCCTGACTATTTTTTTCTCTCTCTCTCTATCTTTGACCCCCGACAGAGCGAGAAATAAAAAAAAAAAAGGACAGAGAAATGTCTATAAACCACTACTCATCGGAGACACCAGAAACGACGACGTTATGGTGGACTCAGCAACAGACCTCACCGCCCCTCGATGACGAACAAGGAGCCACCACAACCACAAGCTCTCCGCAAGAAGGAGAAGAGGAGGTGAAGGAGGCCATGTTCGAGAAGCCATTGACGCCGAGCGACGTGGGGAAGCTTAACCGCCTCGTCATCCCGAAACAGCACGCGGAGAAGTACTTCCCACTCGGTGGCGACTCAGGGGAGAGCAAGGGGCTGCTACTGAGTTTCGAGGACGAGTCAGGGAAGTGCTGGCGTTTCCGTTACTCGTATTGGAACAGTAGCCAGAGTTACGTTTTGACCAAAGGCTGGAGTCGTTACGTTAAGGACAAACGCCTCGATGCTGGCGACGTCGTTTTGTTCCAAAGACACCGCGCCGATGCTAACCGATTCTTCATCAGCTGGAGGCGCCGCCACCCGAGTGCTCCGGCGCATGTTAGCAGCAGAGTAGGGTCTCACAGCAAGAGTAGCAGTGATGGGAATAGCAATGCTAAGAATGCGAATGGGGTGGATGGCGCTGTTCCTGTGGGGTGGACCAGAGACTTCTATCCTGCGCATCCTTATCCTGCGCATCATCACCACCCCTTGCCATACCAACCTCACTCTCTTCATGCAGGTCTCTCTAACTCTAAAATACTTCATCTCATCTCATCTCATTTACATTCATCTTTCTTTCTTTTTTTAAAAAAAATAAAAAATCTTATCGCTTCTTTATTTTTATTTTTATGCATACTATAATTATTATAGTGTTTTTCTTTTCTCTGTTAAAAAAACAATAGTAGTAATTATAGTGATGGTGCGGAAGTAACCGAAAGGTAACTTCCTATTAATTGGGAGAATGTGGGTTATGTTTTTGAAGGAAGGAGTGTAGTATCTGTTCAGAATTCAGAATGCTGAAAACCTGAAACAATCTGGTTTTGCGTGAAGCACACGCGCTAGTTTTCGTTGAGTTTAATGTGGTAAAAAATAAAATTCACATTTTTAACTAAAGTTTTGCAGGTCTTTTGAATTTGTTTCCTTCAGTGGTTGTTGTCCTTACTACTCCTTATTAGTGAATGGAAAATTTGAAAGCATTTTCCGTATATTGGGTTAAAAAAATTTGATTGGAAAATGAAACATCATTAAAGCATGGCGATTTGCACGTGTTGCAATGTTGCAGGTGGAGGGTCCCAAGGACAGAGCGAAACGACACCGGGTTCCAGTTCCAGGGTGCTGAGGCTGTTTGGGGTGAACATGGAATGCCAACCTGATAATGATTCCGGAACCTTCACACCCCAATGCTCCTATAATATGTCGTCAACGCAGGGTACACCTAACCACCATTTCTACCACCATCATCGACCTTCTTATTCTTCTTCCAACCCTCACCATCACATGCTACGTCAACAACCAGACTAGCTTCTACTGGATATTCCCTCCCCTCTAATTAGATTCTCCTTTTTTCTTTTTCTTTTTCCAGAGAGCTTCAGGTTAAGGTCTCCCCTGAATTAATTATAATCTATGACTATATCATTAACATGAACGATGAAAGGAATTGTTCTTTATTGCAAGTATCACGTTGAAGATTATAGAAGATCTTTTTTGTCTTTAATTCGGGAAATGCATGCAATTGGAAATACCTTTTTTATTTGTTTTATGGGATCTTCTTGTTCCCTGTCCATCAGGCATATTAATTGTCAATTAAGGTGTGAATGGCAGAAGAGGGACATGTTTCAATAAAGTTTGGCTCTTATTATATAAGAAAGGCACGGAGTGAAAGCAATATAATATATGCAAACTATAAGTCATAATAATATATGCAAAACTTTATTGAAACATGGCTTAACTCGATCTAAAACTTTCCGGAAGCAAAACTCAACATATCTGTAAGATATGGAAAGTCAACTAACTAGGTTAGGCTTTCCATTGTGGTAAAGCTATTCTAATTAGTGCCTCTTCAGGTCACTCTCAAGCAGTTTAACCTTCCTTAGAATCCCGACACTAAAATGGTATTCCTGAATTTCAGGGATTACTTTCCTCTTCAACTGATCCTTTCAAGTTTAAACAATTTTTTACATGGTTTTTCATGCAAAAAAGTTTCTATACCTTCCTTTAAATGACACTAAATTAATTTCAAAAAATGCATGGATTAAATTGTAAACATGCGATGTGTAGAATAAACCTCATAAGAAAAAAAGCAAAACATGTCCGGCACTGTTCAACACTTCTTCTTAATTTCTCTATTTAACTTTATTAAATCAATGGCCCGTCACGCTTTTTATGGACTATTCAAAACTATTTAAATTTTTAATATAGTAGCGATTTACCAAATATATATATATATATAGTAGCAGGAATTAAGACAATGTGTGGATACAGAGAGTGATTGTAACAGGATGACAAAAAGAAGAGAAATCGCTAAGGACAAAGATGGGTTGGATGGCACATCCCAAAATTGACCCAATTAACCTACTTGTCAGGTAGCCCCCCTCAAACCCTGCCTAAAAGGGGAAGGGAAAAAAAGTGGGAGAGGAGGCAGAGTAAAGAAAGACTAGAAGGGAAAAAAGAAACGAAATCCCTGATTTTCATACCAAACTTTCACACCAAAAGAGTAGCAATGAGTAAACCCAAAGGAAGGTTGGGAGTAGTAGTGGGAAAAGAAAAGAGACTGCAGCCAGAGGCCAGAATCAGAGGGTAAGGTATGGAGAGGCAGCGTAGGCCCCACTAATATAGCTGGCTGAAGTCATCCCAGTGTGCTAAATGGAGAATTTAGGTCCTTGGAAATCAGAAATCAGAAATAAGGAATCAATTTACTACTGTAGGGATTCTGCCTGCAGATTTTTCACAAGGGCTCATCATAATATTTACATGGGAGAGGTAAGGTAATGTGTAGTGCCAGTGATTGATGGTGTGCTTCTATTTGGCATTGGTGAGTCAGGTGAGTGGGTGGGTTGGACTTTGACTTGATAGGTTACACAACACAAGACGTTACTACTAAGCTCACTGTCCTTTCTTTTTTCCTCTAATTAAGCAACACTAACCGCATGCTACATACTTCTATAACCACACAACTTTGTATTATTTCAAGATGAAACGATGTTATTTCGTGCATATTTAATAATTTTTTATATTTTTTCTCCTTCACAAAATTAAGAAGAGAATGAAAATAGAAAAGGAAGAATATAAAAAATCACTAATTATATATCAAAATATTATTTTATTTTAAATGACACAAAATTGTATTATTTAAGATAACAAACACTTTTTTTCTATGTATAATTGCTGCTACAGCCTCATGTTTGGTTTTTGTTTGCTACCGATAACTAATATTTCAAATTTTGTTTCTAGACAAAATTCAGCTACTAGTCGCTGATGCATTTATTCGTGCAATGATAAGGGGGTGGTTATCTGCTGCTTATCTTCATTTGTCATCACTCATCAGCGTTTAAACATGTGGATGAAAATGGGGAAGCTCAAGACAAAATTCAATTTGGACATGTCAATACAGGCCATGGTCCCCCCACTCTGTTGTTGCCAGACCTGTTTTTTTATGGTCTGTTTGTGTGCAGTTGTAAGTTTTTGCAAATTATAACAACACGCAATGAAAGAAAAATGGAGAGAGAATGTTCACAATACAAACTGACTCGGGGTAAAATGTTTAAACAAAAAAGGGAAAATGGAAAATCAGACCAAAAACCAAAAAGGAGACAAATATATCCTTAAGAGGTGATGCAGTAATGCGACATTGAATGATCTTTCAATCTTATCTAATTCTAAATGGTGTGATTCACAACTTTTGAACTCTCAAACACCTAGTTATCAGGCAATTGTGGCAACCTCAGTTTTACTTTGTTGGCTGAATAATGGGGTAACCACAGTGATTGACAGAGTTTTAGTCCCCATTAGTGAGCCTTTTTAACTAATAATTCAGAAAAGAAAAACACCTTCATTGATTTACATCACTGAACCTCTCACTTGAAGTCTATGACTCAGCACACGCTGTCCATGTTATTTTATTCTCTCTAAACACTGAGGTGATATGACTTCAAGGTGGAAAAAATTCCAAATTTCGGGTACAACACTGATGTTTTATCAGGTGAAGAATAACAGTTCCACTGACTGAGAAGTTTTAGCTATCGTACAACCAACTGCTTGCAATTTGCATAGACGACAAGTAGGGGTTGCGGAAATGAGGATGTGACCCATCAGTGAAACGCTTTTGATCAATGATTCATAGCACTGAATTACCAAAACTCCAACTCCAACTAGTCCTTGCCCTTCCTCCCCCACAGAGGAAGAAGAAAAAGAATAATCCAATTTTTGAGGACCCAGAGGAGACAAGAGATTGAATCGATCACTGTGTTTAAACAGTGGCTTCATCCAAGATTTTAGCTTCAATCAACGTGATCGACACGACTTTCAAACGAGTTAATGCAAAATAATTATGCAAAAGAACCACGAGTGCAGAATACCTTTCTGAGTAATCAAATACTGTGTCATGTGATTATTAGGGGCCCATAAAGATTTACAGAAGAGGCCCATTGAGCTCTGCTTGAGAAGGCGTCCAATGTCTCTCAGTGGCTCACTGTCCCAGCAAGTGGGAGGGTCCTCAATATGTGGTCTTTATCATTGGCCTACCCATAATGGCCAATCATAGAAATGAAAGGATTTGACCTGCAGGAGTGATACAGTTACATATTAACGAAGTACAGGTGATATAAAAAGAAAGAATAGGAGAAATATCATGCTTCATTCCAGCTCCAACTTGCATTACTTTGAAACGTGAGGGATGATCTGAGATTAAAGAAATAATGAAAGAAAAAATAAGATATTTTTATTGATTGGTATCCCTACCCAGGTTTAGGAAGGGAAAGAATGATTACAAAATTACTGTTTCACAGGAATTAGACAGCCTTACGCCTCCCACTCACTATCCTTTTCTCTCCCGCTTCTTCTCTTATATCCTATTCATGACTACTGGTTAAAACTTAAAAGAATATCCTTCAATATCCAATATAATATCAATTAATATCAGGCAACTTTATCTAGTATATCTAACAATATTAAGTAATTCTATTTAATATATTTGACAACATCAATTAATAATGTCAAATAACTCTGTCTAGTATATTTAACAATATTAATTAACTGCAACTTCTATTACTAACAGGATCTGGCATTCAGCATATGTACTGCTGAAAAGAAAGTTAAACAGATTAAGCACGAAGCAACACTCTTTCCTGCAACTTTTCAACTGGAAATCTTATCAGGTTCATCCTGCCAAATTGATTCTCATTACAGAATAGCTAAGTATATGATATGTCAATCGTGTAGATTGTGCCCTCCATTTCATAGTACTAATGATCCAAAACTTGTGCTTTAGAAGACTCCCAACAACTTAGCCGCAAGGCAATAGCGAAAATATAATCCCCATTCCCCACCTACAATGTTAATACAGATGAGCCTATCAAAACAGTTTTGAATTAATTCGACTATCAAAGAGTGAGAACTATTCCCCAATAATCTAGACCAGGACTGTAGATGCAAGCTTCATAAGCAAATGGGCCAATATAGCAGGCTTATCACCGAGAAGCTGGAGTTAATCATATTTTGTGGGGCCTTAATTTTTGTCTTATTGTGCAAGTCATCTCAACCTCCACGATGAAACCAAAACTATTCAACCTGACATCTCATAACCCAGTTTGTCTGCCACATAATGTTTTCACTCCAAAAAACCGTTGTTGAAGTGCTACCTCACATAGTCTCGGGCTGATAACTGTAGCCAGAAAATGTTGTAGAATGCCAAAATAATTCTATCTAGAACAAATGATAACACAATCTACACTAACTAGCACTACCAAGGATAACATACAACCCTCCACACAAGAAAAGAAAAAAAAAACCCTCCCATTTCAGTATTTCACATAATAGATGGCCAAGCTCAGTAACCACAAGTTACAATAATATTGAAACCATAATTTAAAGATGAGATTACTATCAAACAGTTGAAATTTACATTCGTTAAGCCCTTCATAGAATAATTCAGATTGCAAAAACCTTTGGAGTCACCTGCACTCTTCAGAAAATGTCATGAAATTCCTTATTCAGTCTCTAGAAATTGTGGAACTAATAATAGCCCTGTATAGTCAGCAATTATTAAAACCATGTATCTTTAGGGAAAAAATATTCCAAATAATGATAGATATAATATACCATTTGCTATAGCTGTTAACGAAGCATGGCATCATGTGGTAATGCTACCATTTGCTGAACAAACATACCATTAACATCACAAATAAAACTAAAAAAAATTAAAACTTGGTAACAAAATTTGCAAAAGCAAACCTCAGGACTACCTCAAGTTGATTAGTACCCCAAATACACCAATTATTTAGGAATATTCAATTATATCTGTTGAATACAGTGTACATCAAAATCCTAAATTGAAGAGGACTGTCAAATTTCTGCAAAGCTGTGTGCCTGGGTCTAAATGACTGGTGGATCTGCAAGAGAAAATAACACATTGTCTCCTACGAGCAGGTTCAAGTTGATTTTTTGGGTACATCAACATCTTCTTGGGTTTTGGAATCTTCCTTATTCTTCATTCCATACTGTAGACCCTCTCGGTACCCTTCTATAAAACTTTTAAGAGCATCTCTATATGCAGAAGCTCTAGTCATATACACACGCTGCAAAGCAGGTCTAAGAGTCTCCATTCCCCCTTTGGCAGCTATAGCTGTATATTTTCCAGTAGAAGATACATATGCTTGGTCAAAATCACCATCACAAACTCATTATTCAAAGCAATGGCAGGAAAACATAAAAAGGGAAACTTGGTGCTATTATGCTATAAAGCTCATGCTACGCATCAGGTCCAGAGAAGGGTCAAACCCATTGTGTGGGACTATAATAGGTAGTCTTACCTACATGAATTTTGTGACCCTCAGGTTACATTGCGACAACACTAACCATTGTGCCAAGGCTCCCCTTCAATGGTAGGAAGACATAACCAGAAAAAAAAGTGGTAGGAAAACAAAACAAAAAGAAGGGAGAGGGAATTTATAAACCACATGAGTCAGAGCATAAAAATCTGAAAACAGAATTTTGGAGTTGCAAAAATAAAAAGAGCACAGAATTCTGCTCAATGCTGAATAAGCAAGGGGTGGCACATTAGTCTGAGAAAAAAATATTTGACTAGTTGTTCATATTAGCTTCTTTTTTTTTGGAACACTTTTGACTTGCTGTTCAGAAGCATCCTAATTTTGTTTCTCGTGATGTAAGTCATTAATTTACTAGCTAGATCAGAATATTTACAGTTTGATTAAATAATTCATACAAGACTACATGAGTTTACCAAATCGACTTAAGAGTATAGATAATCATTATTATACTTCAATAAATTCAAGCATCATTGTACTTTCATCACTAACAGCTTAATGATATTATACTAGACAAAGAGATGGTACCAAGATCCTCCAAAGTTGAGGGTTCTTTTACTTCAGTTGTTTTCTTTTCTCCATTTGGCTCATCCATCATTTCATCCTTCTTATAATCATTTGGCCGAAGATCAGGACCAATGTCACGAACCCAGCTTGCAGCGTAAAGCCTAGTAGCTCTCTTCAACACCTGAAGACTGAATGTCTCAGTACAATCTAAATTACCAAAAGCCCATTTGTCATCTGTTCGATTAACTTTCAGCATCCCAAAATTGCATCTTTTTTCACAACCAACATAGATAATATAAACTATGAAATCACGTCAACCTCGGTAAGTTTTGCATAATTGTTACAATTAAGAAAACAAAAAGTGAAATAGAGAAAAGTAACAAATGTCCACTGCAAGAATGCACACATCACTCATTCTTACATAGCCCCTACCAACAGACATGGCCCAAACTGCATTGAATTGAGATAAAGCTGAAAAATTTACATGGAAAAGTAAAGATTGAAAACACTGGAGCTAAAAATCACCATATGAGGTAACACTAACAGAGCCAAAACTAAAGTACGAAGCAATATTGAAAATGGTAATACCCAGATACGCTGCTCCCATGTCAATTTGGGGCGCTTTTTTATGTGAGGAGGGTCAGGCAAAGACGAAGGAAAAGCAATTTCTTTGAGATCATAACGGATGTAGTCGTAGATTTTCCTGCACACAACCCTAACTTTCATCTCCAAATTGCGAGTAGAGTTGGTAACAATGCGATATGTAAATAGGTTAATTTAAGTTTTGATTCCGAGTAAAGAATTTTATTGCGCGGAGAATTTTTTTTATCGCAATCTCGATTTTTGAAAATATAATTTTTATATTGATAATATCTTGAAAATTAAAAATTTAAAAAATTTTAATTTCTCGAACATTTCAAAAAATTCTACGTACCAAACGGGTACTTAGATTTGAACTTGCCTGTTTCCTTGTACAGACTCGGTCCAAATTATAAGTCTCCTATTGAAAAAATAAAAGTCTTAATATAGGTTATTTAAATTTATTAAATATTTAATAATTAATAAATAATTAAAAATATTATTCTATTTAAAATAAATAATATAATATAGGTCGACTTGTAGATTTATACTCGATATATAAAAAAGTTATTACCTGCTTTCTACAATTATTTTTTTTTAAAATTTAGACTTATTTTATTTAATTATTTATGATAAATAAAATCTAATCTAATATGAATTAGGGCGTAGATCTTTATAGATACATGTAATTCATTTACACATGATAGCAACTAGCTACAACGTTGTAAGAGGGCAAAACGAGATAACAGTGGATTGAGCTCCAACTCATTCATCGAAGCCCAAAAAAGCATACTCAATGTTTTTAACTTACAATTAGTTTTCAAATTTTAACTTTGAATACAATTTTTAATTTCTATCAGCCCCAAGCCTCAGAATATAACGCAAAAAAATAAAATAAAATATATATATATATATATATATATATATATTTAAATAAAAGTATTTTATATCTCTAGTAATTTTTTTAATCTCTCAAATTTAAAACAATAAAATTGACATATTTTTAAAACCATTCAGTATAAAAATTAGATCAAACTTAAAATATTTCAAAACTAAATTTAAAAAATAGTTTTCCGAAATCCTATCAAAAAAGTTGAGCGCAATCATTTTGGTTTTTGACTTTAATGTTTCTAAAGTGAATATAGATAAATTATTTACATTCGCTTCCAAAACGACATCGTTTTGAGTTAAATTAAAAAATTATAATGAAAAAGACTATTATAACCCTGAAATAAATTATAATTAAAAAATACCTTGATTTCCGCCTCAAAATGACGTCGTTTTGAGCTCAATGTAGATAAGTTATCTACATTGACTGTAGAAAAAGCGAACCCTTGATTTTTTGCATTAAATTAAAGGATTAGTTTTTTCTGCAGTAAGTCTAATACGACGTTATTTTGGGACATAAATTATGGTATTTTTATCATTTTAATTTATTTCAGTTTTATTATAGTCTTTATAATTATAATTATTTAATTTTTCATTCTCAAAATGACTTTGTTTTGAAAATAAATGCAGATAATTTATCTGCAGTAACTGTAGAAACATTATTCTGTAAATTAAAACTATAACATTATCATCACAATTTTTAAAATTTAGATCGATGCAAATTGAAATTATTTAATTCTAAACTCTTTCAATTCAAGCAATTTGTTTTACTACTATTTAGAGCTTGTAAAATTATCTCTCACACACACACACAAAAAATGCTCTATCTCAATCTTCAAGGCCATGTGAAGATATGACAACAAATCTGATTTGTATGATCATAGATACTCACACTTAGAGTTAGAGTCATCAAAACAAACTAGCGCTCCCCATTAGATTCTGACCTGCGTATAAAATAATCTGTACAAAGCAAAAACTCATATAATCCCTCGGATTAAGACTAGTCCATGGGCCAAAAATCAAATAATTATATAAATATAAGTTTTTGGCATCATCAAAGTTTAAATAATATACTCATTTGTCTTTAATCAAAAATTTGACATAATTTCACTTTTAAAAAAATTTCCTATTTTTAAATTCATCTCTCACTTTTACTGTAACATACTTTTAAAAATGAATTTATAAAAGTTATGTTGTAGAAAAAGTAATTGTGTCATATTATAGAGATTCATTTTTCGTGCTTTAATTTTTTTTTTTTTTGCTTCAAAAAATGCAGACCTCATAAAATATTGTGTGTGTAGGAAAAGTGATTGTAGCATATTACATAATGAATATAAACCCCTTTAAAAATTGTCTTAGACTTTTAGATAACAAATTTTGAGGATTTTAATAATAAAAAAGTTTGGCCAATAGTTAACCCATTGTTAACCTAGAAGAAATGAGAATTATTGGAAGTAGGGTCAAAAATAACTCTGTAAGGGCTAAATAAGGGCTGAAAATAAAGGTTGGAGTAGACTCTAACCAGTTTTGAGATTTGTAACCATACTAGCTAGCCCTTAACTATTATGAAATATGTTGGGTTGTTTGGTAGAGGAAAAAAAAAATTATTTGAAAATCTCAATTTGTAAAAATATAGTGAAAATATTCAATTTTCAAAAATTAAAAATTTAAAAACATTAAATTTCTCAAAAATTCTACAAAATGACGTGTACCAAACACTTTTAGAGAAATAATTTTTCTTATTACATGATAATTTTTTTTTCTCCAACACATACCAAAGTCGTGAGATCTATCTAGTAACTATAAAATAAAAATAAAAATAAATACAGCGCACCTTTTTATGACTCATTAGGAACCCATTTCTAGGTCATGCTAATCTTCAGATTCAACCAGACATCATGCTAGCTATGTGGGTGGCAGAAGTCAGAACTCAGATATAAGAGATAACAAATAATTAGGGTGTTTGGTAGAGGATTGGAATATGATGGGATATTATTATTTTTGGTAAATTATTAAAAAGTGTTTAGTAAGTCAGAATTTTTTCAAAAATGTTGGATTAATTTTATTTTGATTTTATATGTTAATTTTTTTATCACATGAAAAAATAAATTCCACCCCATCAATGATAATTTTCCATAACAATTTTATATGGAAAAACAAATAATGGGAATAAAATTTCTCAATCTTACCTTTACTTCAACTTCTATTAAGTATATGCAAATAATTTTTCCCACCCTATTTTACTGCAAAAAAAAAAATCTTTTTCACCTCCTGTGCTTATTAGCTTCAAATTTCCATTCTTTATTTTTTTTTCCTTTTTCTTTTTTCTGAGTTATTAGAGAAGGGCATTGTCAATATTATCATAGACCTTTTGTAAATGTATGTTATGCCAGCCAATTTATTTCATAGAAATTGGTGAAAAATTGAGCAGTCAGATTAATTTGATCAATGTGATGATGCAGATAAATTCATAAACTAAATAACCAACATAATGTTTCCAAGAAAGCAAAGCCTCATACTAAATCATACTTTTCCTGTTTCTTTTAGGTTGCCAAAATATTTTTCTTGATATTTCCTTTCCTCTGAACGTGGACCATCTGAACAACTCCAGCATCATCACTATATCAGACACCATCATCCACCAAATTCCCTAAAAGGAATATAAAATACTTAATTTTAAAGAAAATTTCGGGGAAAGATTTTTCTTTTTTTTCGGGCATTCTCATCAGACTAAGGTAGTGTTTGGTTCGAGAAAAAAAAAATTATTAGGAAAATATAATTAATAGGAAAATGGTTGGAAAGTGAGTTTAGTAGGAAAATGTAAAAACAGTTGTTTGGTTGACCGAAATATTACCCTGAAAATTTATTTAAATATGCAAAATCTATGTTCGGGAGAAACTTTACATTTGTTTTTTCACTTCCCCAGTTATCTCAAAATATCACATCTCAAGTGATATTATGTAACAGTGAATTTCATCTAAAAATCAACACAAAAGTCATTTTCTCATCTATTCTATTTGCCTAGTATTTTTTGAAAAAATCTAAACCAGACATGATATTTTTTAATATCCACTTATAATTTTTCATCAACCCCAAAATAAACCTTCAACCACACAGTAGCTAATCGTTTTCGTGAAGTAGAGTAGAAAAGAAACTTGATGATAAGTAAGATAAATTATGACAAAGTAATCAATACCAATCGGTAAGCAGGTCAAGTCAAATTAACAGTAATTACATATGAAAGGCTTCAAAAATAAATATCAAGTTGTGACATTTGAATCACTGGCGGATACTAAATATACATTAAGAGAAAGTGAATGGCAGAACAAAATAAATATGACCCAGGAAGTTTGACGAAGACAGCTAAACAAATCATAGAGCAACAGTGGTATCAGAGCTGGATTGGACTCGAGTTAGCTTAGTGATTAGTTAAAAGGCGGGTCGAATATTTTGCGCTTCGGGTACTCGGTTGAGGGAGAGCATACCAATGGTGAATTTCACACTTGAAAGGGAGGTTGTTGAGATATTCAAGTGTGATGAGTCCCACTTTGGTTAGTAATGAGCTAAGTGAAGAGTATATAAGTGAAAAGACCCATGAACCCAATGCCTTACGATTTTGGGTTGAGACATGGTGTCGGATCCACTTGCTACGGTTGGTGTAGTCTTAGCTCATTGGTGGTGGCCCCCGCCACGGGCTTTCCCTGGACCCGTTTGACATTGAAGTTTGAAGGAACGAATTTCTCAACAGGTTGAGGGTAGTTTTATAAAATTATCTCGCAATCTCAATAATATTTTATAATCAATCAAATATATCGTCAGGAAAATATGATCTAATATTTGTAGAAATATTTTAACTTATCAAATAATTTTTTGATAATTTTTTTTGAGAAAGTCAATTTTTTACTATATTCCTAATAATCATAATTTGCAGATAAAAAAAATCATCAACAAAACTCTCCCTAAATGAATTATTAGCATGCCTTTTCCAACACTCCGTGGGTAATTTCTTCCACTTGTGGGGCCACCTCGCTATAGAGCTTAAGAAAATTCCTTAGTCTCCGCTAAGACCACGGGTTTTGTGTTCTTTAAGTGGTTGTTTGAGTCGTGCGTCATTTTCTCTATTTCTTCCTACCTTAACAAGGAAAGAATTTATCACGCATGTCTAAATAGACAATTCATTCAGGGCCCCCCAAAAATGGAACTAGTGTGAAGGGTCTTATGACAATTGCTTCATCTTATTTTATTCTTTGTTGCATAGATAAGACACATATCGTGTGCCTCGTGCACAAAATAAACAAAGTGATCGAATCGATCGGCGTATAATACAATAAATTTATTATGAAATATAGCACTCAAGATTTTAAGCCCAGTTAGGCGCCACTAATTATTATTACAAGACCACAATCGCAGCTGAAGGTCAATGCTTGTAGATTTGAAGTTATGAAATCAATGCGTTATCTTACTATAGGGAAGTATGAAACCAAGATAAGGATAAAGTCAGATGCAAAAACAATCTTAACTGATACTACCCAAAAATTCGTTGGATCTAAGTGGACAAGCATACACTTTTTTTGAGATTTTGTAAATTGAAGTTTAAGAAATTGAATTTGGGAAATATTGATTAGAGAATGATCTGACACTGCACTCAAAATGTGATCTTCTAAGGCTTTGATTAAATTCATATCGCAGTCTGTTTAGTGTGCTGGCAGATTCGCATTTTTTAACCAATCTAATTATTGAGCGTCTTCGAGATTTTTCGATGAGAATTAAGTTCCATAATTAATTTAGGGTGCATTACATATGAAATGAACTCCTAATGAAAATATTTTACCTATTTAAATAAAGAGAAAAATATTTCTCTACTCACTGAAAAAAAAGTTAGCTTTCAGGGTGTTCAAAATGATGTCATTTTATGTTTATAAGATTAAAAAAATTATAATGATAAAAATTAATATAACTTTCGTCCCAAAACGATGTTGTTTTGAGCTCATCGAAAATAACTTATCTTCATTAATTGGAAAAAAAATTTACCCTTAAATAAAATACATTAAATACTGTCATTTAAAATTTTAATTTTTTTTTAACATATACTCTTACTACATAGGTTAACAAGAAATAATTCATCTTTTATAAAAAGTTAGATATGATGGAAAACAATTGATCTTTTAAATTGTTTGGTAGACTTGAAACATTGACTCTTATAGAGGCAGGGAATGGTAAATGACAACGACATCAATTGATAAGGGAAATAATGCGTAACCTAGTTTCAGCTTTTAATCATTATTGTATTGAAGTTGATAAGAGAAAGCGTGTTCTGATGGCAAAATGGTCTGTTTATTATTTTCAAAACATGGATATTTATTTGATCATTGGCAAATAAAATAAGGGGATTATTTTTATTATGTTACATAACATAAAATCATCTTCCTACACACATAAATTTTATATGGGACTCACTTTAAATTTTTCTCTTTTTCCTATTCTATCTCCTCTCTCTTCCTTTTGTGAGAGTAGGAAGTTTGCTCTTATGTTATGTTACATAACAAAAATAATTCCCATAAAATAATAATAATCCATCTAGAAACCAAAAAAACAATTTGGAGCAATGACGTGGTCTAGTTGGTCCACCATCTAATCATACAAATTGTATATATAAGTATAGAAGGACTTAATTAAGCGGTCTACAAATAGATTTTATATCTTCAACGAGCGTGTAAACTCAGCTACGAGTGAATAGCGAATGTGAATACTGAATTGGCCATAAGTCAGTACCATAGACTCGACGTTGGTGATAGTCAACGGAAGAAGAAGGGTAGTCTTGTAGTTAACACAAAAGTGAGGGGCATTCGAGATCTGTTTTTAACCCCTTCATTGGTCCCCTCGGTTCCTTGACCTTACCACCCTCACCCTGCCTCTTGTCTTGTGTTCTGTTCTCTATATATAAGTGGCATTGCAAGTTTTTTGTTTCAGCTCAAAACAACATCTTCTTTAGTACAATATGGCTTGCACCTGCGGCAAAACAAATACGGCCACCACAATCTCCACCGTCAAAACCAATTCGATCACCACCATCTCCGCCGTTCATCCAGACATTATACAAACCCACATCCTCACGTGCCTGGACGGCCCCTCACTCGCCTCCGCCGCCAGCACGTGCTCCCAACTCCACGCCCTCTCAGGGAAAGACCATCTCTGGGCCAACATTTGCCACTCCACGTGGCCCTCCACTATCACCCCACGAGTCCGCCACGTCATCTCCACCTTCCCTTGCGCCTCTCGTTCTTTCTTCGCCGACTCTTTCCCCGCCGCCACCGCCACCGCTCAGAATTCTCATCACGCAAATCCAGACCGCACGCCGGAACTGATATTTTCCGTCGACCTCTTCCACCGCCGGAAGCTCATCCTCTCCAGAGTGCTGGAGACGGAGACAGAGTCCGGGTGGTTCCGGTGCTCGCCGTTCCGGGTCGACCTTCTCGACCCGAAAGACACGGTGAAAACGGGCATGGAGTACCCGAGGGACGAGGATGTTTGCCGGAATGTCTTTGAGGATCTGACGCTGAGCTGGATAGTGATAGACCCGAGAGGGAGGCGCGCCGTGAACTTGTCGAGCCGGAAGCCGGTGTCGGTGCAGCGGCACTGGCTGAGCGGGGAGGTGCAGGTGCGGTTCGCGACAGTGATGGGTGGCGGAGAGAGGGGGTCGGCGTCAGAGATGGCTCTGTGCAACTTGATGGTGACATGCGGTGGTGAAATGCAGGTGAGGGAAGTGAGTTTGCAGATGGAGGACATGGATGGGATGCACCTGAACGGGAGGGACAGTTTGGGAATTTTGCAGAGGGCGTTGGAGGGTAAAAGGGGAAGATTGAAGAGGGAAGAAAAGAATGGATACGTAGAGTTCTTGAATATGAAGAAGGAGAGGAAAGAGAGGAAGTTGAGGGATGAAAGAAGGTTGGATATGCTCTGCATTGCTCTAGCGGCGTTGTCGTTTCTGGCTCTTTCCCATTTCTTTCTATTCTGATTTCTCAATATAGAATTCCTTTGACGAAGAATTGTACAAAAAGTTAAACATATAATAATATGAAAGGCAAGTGGAATGAAAACAGTAAACTTGGAAATTAATTCATAAAGATACAACGTGTATTAACGTGACATTCATAATTTTACAAATTAATAATATAATACTCCTCTTTTCAAAAAGTTATATTTATTCGGAATAAAAAACAAAGACGAACATGTACGAACAGATAATGAGTTTTTATATTAGCTGCGTGTTCTTTGGCATTACTCAATCTTTTATTTTGTTTTTTTATAAATTACATTTATTAATTATTTTTCATTAAATATTTCATTGAACGAACAGATCATGGTTCTCATTAATTTATGGTGTGCATGACAACTATTCTATTCCCTAGCACTGTTTCTGAAAAGAAACATTTTTTTTCTATTTCTGTTTCTTGGAACAGTTTCTGAGAAAAAAAATGTGTTTGATAATATATTCAATTTTTATTCCGAGAATGAGAATTGCGTTTGATAACACAACAAATAATATAACAAAAAATAATTCCTACTAAATATAAAAAAAAATTTGGATCATCACTTTCCTCTCCATATGGTGTGGTTGTGGTGGTGGCAGAGGCGGAGGGTGGCATGGTGGTGGCAGCGGCGGCGCTACAACGGCGGTGGTGGCAGTGACGTGGTGATGATAGTGGTGCTGGTTGTGATGACAGTGGCTGCGACGATGGCGGTGGTAGTGGGGGGACGGTGGTGGTGGAGATGACGGCAGTTGCTGCGACAATGGTGGTGGGGATGGTGGTTGGTGGCATTGGTGGCGGCGACAATGGTAGCGGTGGCATGGTGGTGGTGGCAGTGGTAGTGGCTGCGGCGGTGGAGGTGGTGGTGGTGGTGATGGTGGCGGTGATGGTAGTGACGGGGTGGTGTAACGGTGACGATGGTGGTGGTGACAGTAGTGGCTGTGACGATGGTGGTGGTGGTTGTTGGCGGCGACGGCGGTGGCGTCGGTGGTGGCTGCAGCAATGATAGTGGTGGTTGGTGACAATGGTGGTGATGGTAGCGGTGGCGTTGTGGTGGTGGTAGTGGTAGTTGAGGTGAAAGTAGTGGCTGTGACAATGGTGGTTGGTGACATTGGTGGCGGCGACAATGGTAGCGGTGGCATGGTGGTGGTGGTTATGATGGCATCGTATAGATGGTGGTGGTGGTGGTGGTGGCAGTGGCTGTGGCGGTGGTGGTGGTGGTGGCAGTGGCTGTGGCGGCGGCGGTGGTGGTGGTGGTACAGTGGTGGTGGTGTTGGTGGTAGTGGCGGGGGTGGTGTAATGGTGGCGATGGTGGTGGTGGTTGGTGGTAGCGGCGATGGTGGTGGTGGCAGTGGCGTGGTGATGGCGATGGTGGCAGTGGCTGTAGTGGTTGCGATGATGGTAGTGGTGGTTGATGGCGGTAGTGGTGATGGTGGTGGTGTGGTTGCAGCGGTGGTAGTTGTGGTGGTGGTGATGGTGGCATGGTGGTAGTGATGGGTGGAGGTGGTGGTGATGGTGGCGGTGGCATCGTGGTGTTGGGGGTGGTCACGACAGCACTAGTGGTACGATGGCGGCGGCGACGATGGTGGCAGTGGTCGTGTTGGGATGATGGTGGTGGTGGTGATGAATGATGATGGTAGAGATGAAAAGTAATTAAGAGATATAAGTGTTTCTCATTTTGTGCCCGGGAACAAAAAAGCTGAAATTTTCTGATTTTTTTTTCTGTTCCCTAGCACAAAAATTAATCTGGTTCATCCGGGAACAAAAAAATAAATCAGTTTTACCAAACGAGTTTTCTATCCATTTCTGTTCCCAAGAACAGAAATTAAAAAAGAATTGATTCTGGGAAGGTTGTCGCGCACCCTTAGTGAGTGGGCCTTTTGCCATTTGCACTACTAATAAAACTAAATTAGTTTTTATCATTCACATCGTGTGCTGGCTTTTCGTGAAGTTAGTTACTTATTGGATTCTCTTTTATCAATGTGATGTGTTACATAAAAATATATGGAATGTTGTTTTTTTTTTCTCCTTTTTTTTTATGATCTCATATGAGTCTTATATATTTTTGTATATATGTAAGAGATAATTTTATCTCTTACAATATAAAAAACATCAAACCCTTTACCATAACACTTTTACTTTTTTTTAGATCATGGGATATGTATTTTTCTTTTAATGAATGCTTAAGTCTTCACCAAATCTTTAAGTATATACAATAATAATTATAAAAGAAAATAAAAGATTATATTTTAATTCATTTTAGTATACCTCATAAAATTTTGTATGGAAAAAATTAAACTATCTATGAATGTAGTCATCATGTGCGTTATTTTTCATGTAAAGAGGAAGAGAAAGTGAGAAAAAAAATAGAGAAAAATAGATAAAAGAAAAGACTACATAGACAAAAATACCAATATCCTTAAGAAATATGAATGATACTACTATAAATAAAATAAAATAGGGAAAAGTTCACCAATGCCCCTGTGGTTTGCTTCAGAATCATTTATGCCCCTGTGATTTTTTTCCTATCACGTATGCCCTTGTGCTTTGTAAAAAATAAGAAACCACAGGGTATATGTGATAAAAAACATACCCTTTTACAAACCACAGGGGCATATGTGATAGGAAAAAAACCACAGGAGTATAAGTGATTCTGAAGTAAACCACAGGGACATTAGTGAACTTTTCCCAATAAAATAATAGAGAACAAATCGAAGAAGCAAAAAGTGAGAGGATAGACGAAATATTGAGTGACGCGAAGTGTAGGGGTTAAATATACAAGAGAAAAAATTTATATAGAAAAAGGTTAAATAAACAAAATGTGCATAATATCACAATACAAGAAAAAGAACTGTCATATATATATATATATATATATATATATATATATATATATATATATATATATATATATAGGCAGGATCTTTTGACACCAGTGTCAAATTTTAAATTTGACACCTCATCTAAGAGTCATCAGATCAAAAAAGATCAATGGCTCTGATTTGTAAGCATGTGATACCATTGATTTTTTTTGATCCGAGGGCTCTCGGATGAGGTGTCAAATTTAAAATTTGACACTGGTATCAAAGGATCCTATCTCGTATATATATATATATATATATATATATATATATATATATATATATATATATATATATATATATATATATATATATATATATACATATGTGTGTGTGTGTGTGTGATTAATCATTCTCTTACAATCTATTACAATTAAATCTTAATCTTTGATTTATGTGAATCTAATTTTATAATTTATTGAAACATATTTATAAATTAATTATTAACTTTCAGTAATTATAATCATCAGATTGATAAAATCAATAGTTATTATCTATATATATATATATATATATATATGAGGTTAATATTTCTCGAATTATAAGAAATAAAATTATTTTCTACACACATATAAAAGTGTATAGAGTCATGTGAAGAAAAGAAAGAATAAAAAAATATGAGTCTTATACACATTTATGTATGTGTAATAAATAAAATTATCTCTTACATATAACATAAGAAATATTAATTCCTTAAATATATCATAAATTTTAAATAAAAAAATAAAATAGAAAATATCTTTACAAAAAGAAAAATAGTAAAATTAATTATATCAGATATTGACGCATCTTCTCTAGACTCACAAAAATTTGCTTTTTTAAGTTTATAAATTGATTGTTAGAGCTTACCTCATAGTTATGTACTATTTTTTTCTTTTTAGTACATTGAGGTCCTAACTCCTAAGAGATAAGAGTGGAGAGAATACCTTCAGTGATTTGTACGGCAAACAATAAGGCCTAATTCGTAGGATAAGGAAGGTGAAGGCGTAATTCGTAGGTAGGGTAGGGGAGGTGCCCTCTTGGGGCATTGAAAGTAAAGGGGTGCTTACTACTAACCAACATCATTATAGCAGACTATTAAAATGCAGACATGGGCTATATGATGTACAAAGTTGTTTCCCTATTGATGACCAATTGAAATGGGAGTTGCAACTAACAGTGAATTAAATTTTTATCTTGTACAAGCAATGAATTTTCTAATGTTAATTGGACATGATGGTGCGCCAGATTGGGTCTCCCCTTATATGAAACAGAAGAAAATTGGCAGTTTGGCATATTCAGCGGTGAGAGAACCAACTTAACAATTTCCTGTTAATTTGGGATGACAGCAACCCCGCATGAGCACTATCATCAGCTTATTTGACGCAACACATGGAAAAGGTCACGGATAGTCAATACCAAATGTTAGATAACATTAGGATCTGCATCAGTCAAATCGAACGGATTTTTTTAAAAAACCGAATCGAATTGATTTAAAAGGTTCGATTCGAAAGTGGTTCGGTTCAGAACCGGTTTGAAATCGGTTCAGAACCGGTTTGAAATCGGTTCAAAATGATCCTATTTTGAAAAAAAAAAAAATTAAAAATTTAAAAAAAAATTATAAAAATCAATTTGATTCAGTTTGAAAACGATTCGGTTCAAAATGGTTCGGTTTTTAAACTGGTTCTAAAAATCGGTTCGGTTCTTGAACTGGTTCTTTAAAAACCGGTTCGGTTCATGAACTGGTTTTTAAAAACCGATTATTTTAAGGGGCGGTTCAGTTCGGTTCATGAAATGGTTTTTAAAAACCGATTATTTTAAGGGGCGGTTCATTTCGATTCATGGTTCGGTTCAGTTTTTTGGTTATTTTACACACCCCTAAATAACGCGGACACACATGGAAGTTTTTAATGTGCTCCAAGATCACTGTAATCCTTCCACTCAAAAATTGATACTTGTATTAAAAAAAATTTCTCTTCTCTCTCCTCAACTTTTTCTCTCTTTCTCTTATATCAGTCCCATCAAATTATTTTTGGTCCAAGATCATTGTAACTTCGCTCGATGCACAGAAATGTCATAACAGTGACTGAAATACCACAATTTTAAATGTCATGCCAGTACATTTGTTATAAGTCATAACAAACTTATTTTGCAACATAGCATATTTCTAGTGGCCACCTAATTCACTAGTGATAATAGTGAATTAGGTGATGAAAATAACAATTTGCTTTGAGTAAAAGCAAAATATGTGACAACATTAAAGAATTCCCTCCATTGGCATAGCAAATTAAGGAATTAAGAGAGAAATGTCTACGCCATGTAGGAATGTCAATTTCATCAATCACCTCAATAATCGTACAAGTAATAAAGTGGTAAAGAGTGAAGTTGTCGTTCCCATGAGAATTGATATACCGAACACTAACTTATCTACGCGATCAAAGTTGGATCAATCGTTAAAGGTGTTTTCTTGAGAACATGACTTAAATTGCAAAAAAAAAAAAAAAACTCATATTTAATAAACAAATCACCTTTTATTGAGATTACAAAATATTTAAAAAAAAAACTGTGAACAACACAAATAAAATAAAACAAATTTGTTTTTTTGATAATCAATGAAGACAAGGAATACATAAAATTATGTTTGACGGACACGACAGTATGATCTATAAAATAAACTGACACCAGGAATCAGGGGCGTTCGCGGCCTGGATTGGATCGGTTTTGGAAACAAAAATCATCCAATCCAATCCCTTCGGTTTGATCATATAATCATCCATTCGGTTTTGATTTTTTTTCAAATCCGATCCGATCCAATCCAATTTTTTTCGATTTGGATTGGATCGGTTTTCGGTTTTTTGAAAATCCTAAAATTTATTTCATGATTATTGTGCAAATAACATCTTTTGTATATTGCTTTGTCATTTTTTTTTTTGAAATAAAAAAGCATTAGTAAACTATAATATAATTTTTTAATGTTGGCAATAAGATATGAAGCTCTACAAAGATAAAATTTTGTTGATGACACATGACTAGATTTTTTTCTTGGGTTTAGTTGATAGGTTAATGAGTCTTGGGTTTAGAAATTTTTAGGCTATGATTAGGGAAATACCCAAGTAGGTAGAGGAAAATTAATATATTGGATCGGTTTTCATCAACCCATCCAAAAACTGATCCAATCCAATTAAAATTTGCGGTTTTTAATTGGTTTTCGATTTATTCGGTTTGGATCGGTTGATGAACACCCTTATTTTCGTTAAATGATCTGTGGATCAATAAAAGTGGTATAAAAATATTAACATATAAAATTACGTACCAATCAACTGAGCCGACTTAGCTCAGTGGTAGAGCGCGTGGCTTTTAACCACGTGGTCGTGGGTTCGATCCCCACAGTCGGCGGAAGTTATTTTTTATCCTCAGGAATGAAGATATATCAATGACTGCACTTCGTGTTGTTGACATGTTGTTGTAGTCAACAAGTTCCTCGTAATTGAAAAGTAATTTTTCACATTCATATTTTATTAAAATAATTTTTAATTGATACCATAAATTTATTTTTGTTGTTTATTTTTTAGGGAGACTACATCAAATATTCTCTTTCCTTTCAAAAAAATATTAGACAGACATTATTTTTATCAAAGCAGTGTGACATAAATTATTGAATTAACAACTAGTGTCAAAAGGGTATTCATCGGATATCCAACTAACCCAATAATGTAATCTAACCCAATTAAATTGGTTCAAATCTCTAATTGATTTATTTATGTTAAACCCAATCGAAAACAATTTTTTTTTTTTTTTTATAGTTTACGGATTCAAACTTTTGAACCCGACAAATATTGCGATATATGTTTTTATTTTAACCCAACAACACAATCTAAATTAAACAAAATCAATTAAATTGGTTCAAATCTCTAATTTATTTATTTATGTTAAACCCAATCTAAAACATTTTTTTTATAGTTTACGGATTCAAACTTTTGAACCTGACAAGAAAAAGCTTTCAGTTCTCACTACTAACCCAATCTAAAAAAAGTCTAAAACTTCCAGGTTCAAAAGTTTGAATCCGTAAACTATAAAAAAAATTGTATTAGATTGGGTTTAGCATAAATAAATCAATTAGAGATTTGAACCAATTTAATTGGGTTAGATTTTGATCAGATTAGTTTAATTAAGGTTGGCTGAAAATGCTTTAACAGATGGTTGGTTTGGTAGAGGAGAAAATTTTTTTACCAGAGAATTATAATTACTGAAAATATGGTAGGAAAATAAATTTGCCGGGAAAGTTTTAAAAAAATTGTTTAGTAGGCTGAATTTTACCGAAAAAATTGAGTTAAGTTTTGTAAATCTATGTTTGGTTTGGTTGAAAGTAAAATATTGCTGAAAAAATGGGTGAAATTAAACTTTTTTTAATTGAATCTAAAATGATAAAATATTCGCTAGTCTAGACAATGGGCTTATGTTCTACCAACGTTCATGTTCCATCTCCATATCTATGTCTTTCTCTCTCTTCAAAGCCGACGACCATCTATAGATACCTATGTATATGATTGTGTTTATGTATAGATTCAATAGCCAAAACTGTTTCTCCTACATAAAATCAGGCTTCATCTTCAGTCAAGGTATCCTTTCTCACGAGTATAGTCATCATATCCCCACATGGTAGATACTCCATAATAAGATAGAGATACTTAGCATCAGCATCTTGTTCTTTTACCTCAAAAATGATTTTGTAGTGTTGTGTTGGACATGCTTGTCATAGCAAAATGATTTACTTGATGAAGAAATTAACTTCTATAAATACCCATTAAAATCCCAATAAGAACAACAAAAAAGAGAAACATAAAGGTCAATAGAAAAAATGAAGACTTTTTTTGCTCAAAGATATCTTTTCTTATTTTAGCTTTTTTGGTTCTCACAAATTGCTTGTGCTTTGAAGCTCAGAAGTGCAGGCCAAGTGTAAGAATCAGAAGAAAGAAAGAAAGCCCATTCAGGACGATGCAACCAAGAGAATGATTCTGATTGTTGTGTATAAGGCCAAATGTAAGAAGTGTCTCAACAACATCACCATCAGTGCTAATGGAAGAAGTGTTGTGGCCATGGTGGTTGGTGAGTGTGATTCCACCATGTATGTGATTCATTACCTGACCTCCAACCATAAGCAATGATGTTGGTCACTGATGCTTCAGTTGGGTTTCAAAGGAGAGAGAAGAAGATGATGTTCAGCAGAAGCACACCCATTGGAGAAAGTTGTGTGCTTCCTGCTGAATTTCTTTGCAGAAGTACGAGACTTCTGTATAGAGGAGAGAGACTCACTTTCCATCAGTACACCAGGGTCATCTTCATCTCCAAACGCGCGCTCTATTTTTCCTTTTCCCGGTAATCCCGTAATACCACCATTGATGTGATATTCTGGAGGGATATATTTTTCTTATGTTGTAGGAAAAGAATTACCTCATGTTGTAGAAATAAAAGTATAAGTGGGACCCACATGTAAGAGGAGAGAGAGAAAAAAAAGTGGTGGGACCCAACCCTTTTTGTGTGTGTAGGAGAGATGTTTATCTCATGTAAAATGAGATAAACATAACCCTATTCTGGAATAGTATTTTTAATGAACTTTTACTCGTAAATGACAAATGCTGGGGAAATGATTTTCCTCGTTGAATTTTTGTGAAACTTGTACTAAACATGGACAAATTGGAAACCCAATATCATTTGCTTGGGTATCTATTAGAAAACTCCTACCAAACAGCCATTTAAAAAATAAACAAAACTAGCGGTTTTTCAACCATATGTTATTAGGCTAATTTACCTGAGTAACGATATTTATCGACATACAATAACACATATCACTTTACATTGTTGATACTAGGGATAATGTAATTAGAGGTAACAAAACGGTCCAATCTATTGAGTTAATTTTTTATAAATGATAGATTGGGTTGAGATTCTCAATCTGTCAATCCATTTCAACCGACCCGTATAAGGACGGATCAAAACAGGTTCAACCCGTTGAATCAATTTTTTTTATTTAATATCAAATAATATTTTATTTGTTATGCAAAAAATTTTGTGATATTTAAAATTTTAATCTTAGTATTCTCCTATAAAAAATAAAGAAGAAAATATTTTATTTATGACAAAGATTATTAATATGAGACAAAAATGATTTTCTAATTACTGTCCGACTGAATATTAGTATATATTTAGTCTTAGCATTAGAAAAAATTAATGGGAGTGTGAGATGAAACTAAATAAAATTATAAATAAATAATATGATTTATTTATTTATTTTTAAAAAAACTATATAATTTGACCCACCAAGCCATTAAACTATCAGAAAACTAGACAGGTTAATATTTTCAATCTATTTTTAAAAGGCGGGTCAACCTGCACCGTCTTATTTTTCGCAAGTTGACGGTGTACCGACCCATCTTACCACCTACTGATTCTTCCTTCTGTATTATTTTTGTAAATGTCAAAAATAGTGTGTTTGAAAGGACATTAATGAAATACATAAACAAAGCCGGCTTAACTCAGAGTAGAGCGCATGGCTCGAACTCCGCACGCGGTGAATTTTCTTTTTTATCTGAGTACAAAAAAATTATTCCAAATAAGACAGTTTCATAAATTATTGTACTTCAATTATACTCGATTAAGATAATTAAAAAAAAAAACCACTCGCACTTCCTTTACGTAAATTATTGACTTAACAATTAGGGTGTTCACGAGATATCCAACTAACGCAAGAATTCAATCTAAATCAATTAAATTGGTTCTATTCCCTTTGGAAAATTAAAAATATGTCAAATTTGATCCAAAACAATTACTATTAGTATAGTTTTTGGATTCGTATTTTTCATCCAAGAAATATAACAATTTATGCTTTTGTTTTAATCCAACGAAGCAATCTAAGTTAACCTGATCTTGGTCGGATTAATTTAATTTGGATCGGCTAAAAATGCATTCAAAAACCAAACCAATTGTATTTAATCGGTTAGAATTTTTTTACCCCAAACCAAACCATCATTTCATTCAATCCAACAACCATACTTGAACTCTGCCAAAGTTCTAGATTGTGTATCATTTCTCTTGGCACAAACACCCAAGTACAACGGTTTATATACTTCTGCTAACAGCCACAAACTGCTCCACATGCCAGTATTTTAGTACATAAATCCTTCACCTATCACTTGTGCTGAACAATGCTTCTAATTGTGTTGTATGCATCTGTAATCCTCAAAAAAACTCGGTTCTACATATTCTTGGTACTTCTAACATATGGCTTGCTCAGGCATATTAAACAAAGATATGGCCTGTGAGGGGAATCAACTGTCTGCTGTTGGTTCAGGAGGCCCTCTGGCAATTGGGATTCCAAAACCAGAGTTGGTCGTGGGTTTTGCATAATCAACATAGATAACACGTCCATTTAGTGCCTGCAAAGGGTTCTGTCAGTTCTCACTACTAACCCTACAAAGAAAAGGAGATACACAAGTTTGATAGTACCTTTCCATTCATCTCTGTTATGGCATTCTCAGACTCATCTTCTGAAGCAAAGGTGACAAACCCAAACCCTTTAGACCTGTCTGACACCCTATCTGTTATAATTTTAGCTGGAAAAGTAACATTGTCAGGAGCCAGAAAACCATATATATGATGAGGAGATGATACAGAGAGAGTTGCTTAATGTTAGTTCATTAATCATTTTGAAGCTACCTTCAATAACTTGTCCGTAATTTGAGAATGCATCTGATAATGCTTTCTCTGTCGTGTAGAAGGACAGTCCTGCAAAATAATGAGGAACACAGCTCCAACAATAAACAACCTAATATGGGTTTATGCATTGAAATCAAACTAAGTACAAGTTAAAACAGAAACCATTGGCAAACTTTTGACATTAGCAGAAAACACTGATATATATATATTGATTGGACATGTGAATTTCCATTGATGGACATAAAAGATGACGCAAGACCAGGGTACAGAGAGCAATAAAGTGAACAAGGATGAAATGTATAACACACAACACAAAACCTTAGAGCATGTTTGGTTCATAAAATTTATTCTCTTTCTTATTTACATGTTTCATGTTCCATCTTGTTTTCCACAAAGTGTTGAAAATTATGTTCAATAATCATAAACATACACTTACTAATTACTGTTGCTCACATAGTGTCAAGAAGTTTATCATTCATAGCAGGAAGCCAATGAACAACAATAAGTAACTAATTCTACAAAAAAAAAGTTTATATCATTTCATTCACGAGAGTTTGGGCATTAAACAGTTCAAATTAATTACATATGAGGAGCAAAAAAAGAGAAATCGCATACCTCCAACGAAAAGCTTAAAAGCGATTCCCCTGCGAAAAGTGAGAAGAGATGGCAATAAGGCTTTGTCGGATGCAATTATTCTTCTGATGGCCGCCATGGAATTAGAGTGTTGCAGAGAAAAGGGAATTAGGGCTCATATTCATAGTCATGGTAGTAAACGGGCTCGACATACACCGAAAGCCCGACCCTAATATGGGTTGGGCCTGCGACAGCCCAAGCTCAACCTGTGTGATAATGTAACTTATTGGTTACCTTTTATTTTTTTATTTTTTTGGTAGTAAAAAAGTTTAAACGAGGATAGTAAGATGAGAGAAGATCGCTAACCTCTTTGAAAAATTTTGGGTTAACTTTTTTAAATGGCTCAATTTATTCATAGCTTTATTATTAATCGAATTGAGATCGAGTGAACTTAATATTTAAATAAAATATATAAATTTAAATGATTGAATTTTAGAAGAAAAAAAATTATAATTAAGGAATTTTTTTGGAATGAAGGTATATTGATGCGAAAAATTACATTATGTAAAATGTTTAATTTAAGTAAAAAAAAATCTTGTTACTTATTATTCTGAGGAATAAAATATTATAAGATATTGGGTTAGATCTGCCAACTTGGAATATTGCACAGACGGACTCAAAAAATTACTGGCTTTAATATCCAAAATGCAAATCTTATCGATTAACTTCAAGCCAAGTCTGGTGTTGCTCTCTTTACAAATTCGAATGGAGACTATGTCATCCTATGATACACCCACATCGACACCGGATACGAGACATGATACGACACGTTAATATGTTAATTATAAAAAATATTATATTTTGACATGTTAGAATACGTTTTGATATTAAATAATATTTTTAATATATATAATATAATTTATATTTAATACATAAAACAGTTCACAATAAGTCATATAACCATTCAAATTTCATAACATAAATATAAAACAAATGTGATTTTTCATGTCAAATTTCATAACTGAAAAAAGTTGACTTATAAATTAATTTTTTATTTTTAATTAATAAAAAAATAGACCTTAAAAAAAAACGTGTCGGATGCATATCGGAGCGTTGATCACGTGTCGAAAAAATGTATCGGAGCATTGATCGTGTATCGAAAAACGTGTCGTAACGTTGACCGCGTGTCCCAGAATGTTGACGCGTGTCCAAACGTGACAGTTTCCGATACACAATTTTTTTTTTTAATGGTGTGTCCGTGCATTCTAGATGTCATCTTCACATGATTAAATTATTTTTGTTTTATTTTTTAATGGAAAAATGCACTAATTTTGAAATTACCAATTTACCACTGAATTTTCAAATTTGATGAGAGACCTTTCAACTTTCCGGAAAATTTGTGATTGGTCCTTTCTGTTCATAACTTTAACGAAAACCATCCGTCACGTGAATTACACATGGTCACTAAAACATAACGTTTATTATTATTATTATTTTTACAAAAAGTTAATTTAATTTGTTTTAGAGAAAACGCACATACACCCCTCAACCAATTTTTTTTTTTTAATTTCATATTGATTTCAACTGATGCTTTATGAAAACCCCTCGACCGATTTTTTAAATTTATAAAGATTTCAACTTTATTTTATTTTTATTTTTTTGTGGTAGTTGTTTGGGCAATAGCTCAGAACAACAGTATAGAAGACTAAGTCCTGCAGGAGGAGGACTCACAAAAATAGTACAATCTTCTGACTGATCATGGCTGAGAGCATGATTAGCTAGCCATCTTGTGCAATAATTACCCTCCTTCATGATGTGATTAAACTAAAATATCGCGGGCAGCATTACCTGGTTTGGTAAGCAAAATGATAATTGAGGTGGAAATGTGGAATCACTCTCAATAATGACGCGACGGTGGCCCCAGTTTCAAACTTAACTCTAGGCTTTTCTGAAATCCCCAAAATTCAGCTTTGTGTCTCCAACTCTAAGGAAAGGCCATCAATCCATTGACCTTCTAATCCTCTGCATATAACTCCACTCACTGCCAGTCCCGAATGCACCATTTGTGTTGATTTTCTTACATTCCTTTTTACATTTCACATAGCACAGCTGTATTTACTAAATTTTAATAGTAATATAATATTTGATTTTTTCAGTAATTTGTTTTTCATCTTTGAAATACAAATTAAATTTAAAAGGTAAAATATGTAGACAAAGAATAAAGTGTCACTTGTATAAGTGAGCAACTCAGATGCCGCATGATATCCAATAAATGATAAATGTTTGGACCTATTTTCAAGTTATTTAAAGTTTTAAGGCCTCCCAATGAAAAAAGACTATGGTGGTGATTCCAAGTCGACATAAAAAACCTCTGCACTCAGTTCACCACAAATGGAGATTGAAATAATGGGTATAACGTTGAACTTGGAGCCCTCTTGGACAAAGTATAATGATAACACCCCACATAAGTTAATTTTATATGCAAAATAAGAGAAATTCTTTAAGTGCTACCAGAGTAGTAAAAAAATAAAATATAAAAAAGGTTCTTACCACATCAAAAACATTTAAGAATTTCTCATTATCTTCAGGCCGAAAAAGATGAGCTAAAGTTAGCAAGCAGGGAAGGCAATGGAATTCATTTAGATAAAACATCTAGTCCATGCTAATCCTGCTCTTGAACTTGGCCAATGCCATTTATTTATATCTAAATGCATGCTAAGGCATGGTTTCATACATCCTGATCATAATGAGGATTTGATGCAAAAACAATCGTCAGAACCTCCGCGTTTGTACACAGAACACAAAAAGCAGAGTGTAAGGTGAAACTGACATCAAAGCACTTACCGGGCATCATTCAACTGTTACACATGGCTATTTCTACAATACACTACAGAATTACAAAGTAAAAATACACAATATTTTCACCATGTTTCTGTGTGTACACAAGGACAGTTATGATTACATAAATTTAGTAAACTAATTTTTTTTTTACATTTCTATCATTGCTTTCTTTGATAACTGTCCACGTATACATACATAAATTCAACGGTGAAGAATATGTAGTGTATTAACACAATATATAGTTTGATAGTATATTGTGAAATTGGCTTTCACAGACAGATTATGCAAAGTTGTGGCCAAAGCCCAAGACGGATGGATGTCTATACTGAGTTACTCCAAGAGCTGTGATGCTCGTGTTAGATGTCTAAGAGTGCAACTACTATATTCAGAACTAAATTTATATGCAGTTTTCACCCAATCTTCAAAGTTCGAATTACTCATGACTGACTCAGCTTCAGTAATGTTTGGAACATCATATCAATGAATTGATCATCCTGGTACAGGAAAATTCCGTTAGTAGGAAAACTATTTCGTAAATTAATTAGGAAGAGGCGTAAAAAGATAGGAAGCATTCAACAGAATGGGTAAAAGAAAAGCACGCAGTCATCATTTCGACATCTACGTTATATTTTGCTACTTCAAATCTCTTGTAAAAGTAGAGATTCATTTTATATTGAAATTATAAACACAAAAAGTGATTAAAATACGAAAAATTATAAAATTGCATACTAAAAATCTAATTTCATACTAGTAAGTAGTAACAATAATATGGGGTGTTCAAACGTCAAGATCATTAAATCGTTGCTTTAAGGTCTCCATCTTTTCCAATTATTCACAATCTTATTTCTCAAATTTGCAAATCTCAAAAACATTTGTTATTATTTTATATGAAACAAAGATATTAATAGTTCGGATAATTGATTGTGAAGTGCACTTTCAGCAGTAAAGCTAAATTTTATTAGCTGCAATATTTCCTCATATTTAGATAGCTTAATTGGGACTGCTTATACTGTCTAAATAAAAGTTTAGGCTCTTCTCTAGTGCCCAGGCCCCAGACTAAATTATATATAAAGTATTTCAGACTTCTCTCTTGAAGCAATTGACAACCCCTGTGGGCAGTAAAACTATAGTCCTATGTTAAACATCCAATGAAGGTTGCAACACTAGTAGGTAGTAGCCCTTACTTCCCCTTTATTCTATCCCCTTCCCCAAAAAAAAAAAAAAGAGAATTGAATGACAACCTAAAATCACAATTTAAATTATTAATGATCGAAAAACGTAAGGGAACAAAAGAAAGATGGTAAAACCGTGAAATACCTGAACCAGTGATAAAAGTGCATCACGAACTTTATCCCTGCTTATAACAGGTTTATTTGGAGTGGAGCTAGAAATAGGGGTTAGAGAAGGAGGAGGATTGGGTGGTGGGAAGGGTTGAAGCACTGGAGTGCCATATTGGCGTGGCAGATTCAGGGAATGACGAACAGCTGCACTAGGTGGCGCAGATGAAGAAATAGGCGGAATTAATAGTGAAGATGAAGAGGTGGGTGCAAAAAAAGTAGAAGGCTTAATAAGATTAGCGACTTGATTGCTACTGTTGATTGTTTCAAGAGAATCAAGGGGGAAGCCTGATATAGATGCAGCGGAACGAGAGGCAGATGATATTTGCACAGCAGGTGCAGGAGACAATAAACCACTGGGAGCAGTAGAAGTGACAGTTGCAGAATGGTAGGGCTGTCTAAAATTTTCTATATTAGAAGTATAATTTCCGGTAACCTTAGATGTCTGCAACAAATGAATTCAAAAATTTGTAAAGCCACAGACATCATATAGTAAAAAGCAAAACTTAAAATTGACATTGCAGACGTATTCCCCATAAGGAAGAATTAAATGAAATGATATGCAACTACATTACATACGCTGAAGAAGTTTGTAAAAACAGGATCTTCAAGAGCATCAGTTGCAGAAGCAGCAGCTGGAGATGGTTCTAGAGGGCTTTCTGTTATGATTGACACTGGCTCAAGTTCCTCAAACTCACTACAGTATATAAAATAATCACTTATAAATCCAACTAAGAGTTAATTAAGTGGGAGTAAAAATAAACAAATAGTTTGAATTTTGAGCAAGCACATTCAATAGACAAGAAAAATGAGGTCAAGGTAATATGTATATTGAACTTCTCATTACATGATTTATTAAAGAAAGTTAATTTCCAGTTTGAAATCACTAGTTTCTTCACAAATGAAATATTAAAGATAATGTTGTTTGGAATCATTAACATATAGCTTGCCTATTGCAATAGAAAGTAACATTTGCAAAAAGAAAATATCCCCAAAGGTATTCAAAATGATAGAAAAAGAAACAACTTAAGATTTTATAAGCTTTCTAAAATCCTTACCTTTTGCTAGAAGGCATTAGAGTATTTAGAGGTGCCTTTGGGTATGCATTTAGTATCCTGCAAATTGAATTTGGAAAAAAAATTATATAAGCAACCTGCATGTCAATTACATAGGGTACATTACTAACAAAATAAATAAATCACAAAATCTTCGGTTGAGATTAGAAATGAATTAGCTTCTTGTATCTAAAAGTTTGAGCATAAATAAGCAAGGGGAAACACAACATAAAATTTCTAATTGGAGAAAATTACCATACCTATTGAAGAGATTTGCAACTTCTTCGCATTCATCTGGATTGTAAAACCATATACCATTAACTTCTTGGGCAGCATTCCGATATAATAAGTATGGCTTTTTAAGTTCATACTCAAAATCCAATAGATTTTCCACTAGGTTATCTGTCAGGACAAACATCAGAAAGGAAGTTGAAAAGTAAGGAACAGATAGCACAGATTCAGACGTGCACAACAACGAGTGCATATCAAAGCAGGAGTGTCTGTTTCTCCACATAGTAAATTTGTTGTCGATGTGGCAATAATTAATTTAGCATTGCCAAAAAGGGTATATGTCACTTACAGCAACAAATAGTTCCAAACGAATACAGAACTATCCATAAAACTGAATTCAATCTAGAAGAAGTGAGGCATCTAAATAAAATAACATCACGGACAAATTGTTTGATGGATATATATATTAGAAGTTGAAGTGCTTCCAACCAATTATCTAGCATTTGGAATGAATATTAGTTGGCTTTTAGCAGAATAACAGCTCCTACCAGTACTTGAAATTTACAAGCAATAGTACTGAAAATTCTCATAATTGTTTGGCATGGCTGCAGGGCGACAAAATAGCAAAAATAGGCTGCAATGCGTCAGAAAAACACCTAATAAAACTTTAGGTAGACTTGCAATTTCTAAATCCATGATAATCATTGGATATATGGTGAACAAAAAACAACCACCGGTGGTCGGTGATGGTTCAAGGATGACAGCGGATCAACAACCAAAGGTTGGTATTTTGCTAGGGGTGATAACTGCTTATAGCAATTTGCCAGAAACAAAATATAAACATGAAATATACAAACCATGAGATTCTCCCATTTTTTAAGCAGGCAACTAATCCTACTGTACTCAATTCAGACTTCCATTTAGCTAATACCAATACATAAATAATTTGAACTTAATGACACGGATTACCATGATCGTCTATAACTTAGGGGGCTAATTAACCTAACAATAAAAAACAAGCCCAGAATAATAATAAAATAAATAAAAAGAATACTATGATTTTAATACAAAAATACAAATCTAAACCTGTATTTCGTCGATTCATTACGATAAACTGAAACCGAGGTTGTGAATTCCTGCACAAAAACAGGAAAATTGATTAACGATCTAAGTCTATATGAATACAAGCGACAGCATAGAGAAAATAAACGAGAGAGAGAGAGAGAGAGAGAGAGTATTGTTGATTACCTCTTGACAACAAAGAGAGATCCTTCAACATCCTTGCGACTCTATAAAACAATTCAGAAAATGAGATATAAATGTGCAACGAAGTGAAAAGAAAGAGTAGAGAATGGGAAAGAACGAACCCACTGGTTGCTTTCGATGTTGAAGTCGTAGAAAGAAACGTGCGCGGCGGTGAAGAGAATCTCGTCGATGAATGGATCCATTCTCTGAAGCACAGTGAGATTGAGCACCTTCGTGGTCTGCTGATCCAGATTCGGCGTCAATTTCTTAGTCTGAGACATTTCAAACAATTTCAGAGCCTCAAACCCTCGAACTCAAGATTTTGACTTGCTTCACCAACAAACAAGAATTAGAGTCACTCTCACTCAACCCAAACCCAACAACCTCTATTCCAACTCACCAAAATTCTAACTTCAGAGTTGAATCTGATTGATAATGTATATCAAGTTTGGATCAAGCCAATGATTTATTTAAAAGGAAAGCAGTTTAATATTTATTTATTTATTTATTTTTATGGGATGCTTGATTCGGTGTGGTTTACAGAAAGGGTACAGCGTGATTTACTGTTTGGGGCTAAACTGAGTTATTTAAATCTAAATCATGCATACATATTATAAAAAAGAATTTAAACCAATGTACAATTATGTATTAGTTAATAATCTTTTATTATTGCTTATTTAAGGCATATATCGTGCATACAAGTCACAACTTGCGCAGCATATAATTAATTACTTGTTCGCTTAATGTATAAGATCCAATAAAAAAAATGAAAATTAAAAGAAAAAGTGCTTCAAGGGAAAAAAAAAAAAAAAATAGGCAAAATAATTAGATAGTCTATAAATATCAATTTTCACTTAAAAAAAATTCTTATGATCAAATATTATCTTATTATAATATTAGCCAGGCTTACATAAACGAACAAAACAAACTGCAGGGGGAATGAACCAAGAACATCTCTTTAACAAGAGAGACTAGAATACTAAATAAATAAAACAAAGCAGGGCAAAAATATCTCATTTAATTTAATATAATTCATTTTTCATTATAATACAGTTCCTTGTCTGACGAATAAAAAAATTAAAAAAAAAAATGATTTGGTATGTGTAATTAAGTTGGAACAGGTGAGATTCAAAAATTATTGGGGGATGTAAATAACAAAAAAATTCTTTTGCAGTTTTACAAAAAAATAATAATAATTCTTTTGCAATGGAACAAAACTTCAACGCAACCAATACATCCGTAATTCATTTATCTTTGGATATATAACCCAATTCTGAGATTTTAAAAATTTGTGCAAGATGTATCCTAAGATAAATGAATTGTTGCACCGAAGATTTTTTCTTTGCAATGGCGAGACGGCCCATTGCCCACTACACATATAAAATAAACCTCGTTAGAGCTATTTCTAGTGACTTTTTTACGAGTAGGAAACCGCCACAGCTAACAAACACTTCGAAGCTAAGCACAAGCCTCGCGCAATGTTTTCCTCTTCAATCACACATCATTTATGAAATCCAAGAGTTCCAAAAAGAATCTTGGGAGTTTAGGAAACCACTATGCACGAATAGTCCATCCTCGCTGAGCAAGAGCAGCAATTACTTGACTGGCAGCCTCTGCAGTGTCATTCAGTGGAGGATAACTCCAGCTTTCAGTTATCTGTATTTTCAAAAAACAAATCAGTAAAGGGCAATATTTATTGAAAATTCAACAAAACATCTTCCAGCAACAACTATAGGCCATGCAGACACAGATGGTCTGTCAGCACAGAAGAGGCTGCTCCTATCTAAAAATTGACCACAAAAATAATTCAGATAAGACCATTTTTTTTGGTGAATCAGATAAGACCATTTGGAAAGTTCTTCTAGCATTTACTATGTATTTTTTTTTTTAAATTGTATCATGAAATAAGAAATCAACTTACATATCCTGGTTTGCAATCTAATAATGAAATATAGGCTTTTCTATTATTCAGATAAAGACAATTCACAAGCTGCTACCTCAATTTCCTCAATTTATCTTGAACGGTAGAGTAAGAGCATAAGAGTCATCGTTGATGCTTTCTGAATTAAAAAGACTGATATACATTTGGAAAAAGAAAAAGAAAAAAAACACAACACAAAACATTACAGTACAGCTGGCAACTCACATTCTCCTTCCCAGTGAATGGTCGAGCAACTCCTCGCTCCTGCAAAAACTTTTGGAAATCAGCAAACTTCCATGTACACAATTCTGCTCCAATTACATACACAGGCTTCCTGCAGTAAAAGGTACGGAGTCATGAAACTATGGATTTCACTTTAAGGAATGATCAAACAAGAATTTTTTTAATTTTAATTTTTTTATGAGATGGACGCTTATCATCATTGATCATACATACCCAGTACTGCAGGCCTCGCTCAACATACTAACTGAATCAGCTGTGATAACAAAGGCATCAGCCCAGGCCAAATGTCCCATATGTGGATTTGGACCTACATGCGAAAAAAAAAATTACATTACATAATCTCCAGTACCAGACAGTTAAACATGGATTTCCTCTCAAGAATATGACGACAAAGTACCTTCACCATCCCATATTTGGACCTTAGGATTTGTGGAAAACTCTTTGACCAAAATTTTGGAGATCTGGAATAAGAATGGAAAAATTGAATTTAATAAACGTACAAAGATAGCTATAAGAGGATACCTTCACTGAGGCGTCCATCCTTCTAGGCAACATCATTTAAACATGACCAAGACCAGTTCAGCTTTCAAGGTTTTACAATAAACCAACAAGTCAACAACTATGAGCATGCTCATGGTAGAAGCCAAAACTTAATATAACCACAACCTATGGATTGTACAGGCAAAATGAATTTTACTAATTGCGTAATCTTTTATACCTTCTCAGGAGTTCTTCTGGAGAACGATATTCTGATAGTCCCACAACTCCAAAGAACATTCTGAAGCATAACCACTAACTTATTTACAAGATCCACATTATAAGGACAATTGCCTGACCAAAAAAATAAAGATTTAAGATCAAGACAGAAGGTCGGGCTTGACAAAAGTAAGACTTGAAAAAGAAACTTTGCATCTAACATATATCACATGTATAACCAAAGGTAATGTGTGGAATAAAAAGTTTAAGAAAGAAAATATTGGGTGTAGGCCATACAAACATTTGAAAGTTTTTATTTTCAACTCTTAAGTTGTCAAACAAATGAGCGTCGATATATGCAAAATTTGAAGGTATATCATCAGAAACGCGGAAGCGCATCGTACCTATGCGATGAGGAATGAAGAACACCGCTTTGATTACCTGGGGTGAAGAAGCGAGCGTGACGATTCCTCACGTTGAGTTCTCCTTCTACGACTCACGATCTGCAGCAACCACCACGAACGGTAGGAAAATCCACTCTGCGGTTGATCTTCCAGGCTATGACTCAAGGGGATCAGGGAGTCGTGTGGGCAACCGTTCAAATGATGAACGTCTGCCTCTTTGTGTTTCTGATGTCTGTAACCCTAGGAGGCAGAGGGAGAAAAGTGTGCTTATATACCTGCCCAATCCAAAACTAACCCTAAGCTTCATGGGTTAGAATTAGTCTTTGGGCTCATCTCACTAAAGCTATTGGGCTTAAGTGAAAAGAGCATACTTAAACCCAACAATCTCCCACTTGCTCTTTTGGACACAAACTTGAGTTCATAAACCCAAGACTATGTAGCCCATAAGCCATCATCATCTGATTATACAACCCATCCCTTGTCTCAAGCTAGCCTGGGGATCTACCATTTGTCACTCATCAAGGCTCCTGATAATCTTTGAAAGATTATCTAATTCGGCACTACTCCACTAAAAGTCCGAACGTGAACTCCAAGATTAATGACCTTTATAACATGAATATGCATTGCCCCTTTACAGAATGTCTATAATTGATTGATTAATTTTCTGTAACCCAATCAATTATTTATGCACTTGACTATGATAGTTTCTCTAATGGATTATTGCACTGGCCAGTGTCTTTAATATCCAAGTACTGAAACATATCAAGAGGACATTTCCTATAAACTCCTTGTTGTTTATCTCATAAATACCGATAATCAAATAATCTCACTCCCAAAATACCGAGTTATTGGCCGTCAATAGATCGAACCTCACCCGTTGGTAAATCAAAGAATGAAAACTATTTGATTACCTATTTATAATAAACTCAGGATTAAGAGCAATTACATAACTATAGTTAACTGGAGATTTGATACCTTATGACAGAAAAACAACCTTAATCAAATCTCTCCTTGATCCTTTCAATGTGAATGTTAATTCACACCAATATCTTACAATGATTCGGACAAAACCATTTTATAAAATATTGCAGCCTAAATAAAGTGCCCAACTTTATTTAACAGCTGTGAATCCATTCATCAATTGTGAGCACCTATGATCATGTCCTCCATGAACGTATCCATATGATCATATACTCCACAATTAATCCGGACCTTAGTGTTTGTAAATAGTGTGCGAAATAAATGAAAAATACCTCATTTATAACATCCAGAAAAATAACAATGCCATGATGTCTTGCTCAAAACGCACAAAATAACAAAGTGAAAAAATTAACTCCTAAAGCTATAGCAAATATGGAATCCTCCTAAGACCCATAGATGTAACATGCCTCTCGAACACACGTTCAGGCAAGCTCTTAGTAAAAGGGTCAGCAAGGTTCTCATCTGATGCTATCTTGGCAACCACTGTGTCTCCTCTTTCAATGATATCTCGGATCAAGTGGTACTTCCTCTCTATGTGTTTTTGCCTTTTGTGACACCTTGGTTCCTTGGACTGTGCTACTGCCCCACTGTTATCACAGTAAAGTACAATGGGACGACTAACACCTGGTATCACCTGAAGATCTGTTAGGAACTTCTTTAACCATGCGGTTTCTTTTGCTGCCTCAGAAGCAGCTACATAAGCCTCTGTTGTAGAGTCCGCCACACATGACTGTTTGACACTCCTCCAACAAATGGCCCCGCCATTAAGGGTAAACACATATCCCGAGGTTGACTTTCTTGAGTCAATATCTCCTTGGAAATCTGAGTTTGTGTAACCAACGGTTTCAAGACTCCCACTACAATAGACCAACATATAATCTCTTGTTCTCCGTAGGTACTTGAGTATATGTTTAACCGCTATCCAGTGTTCCTCTCCAGGATTAGATTGGTACCGGCTTACTACTCCCACTGCATAGCAGATATCTGGTCTGGTGCACAGCATAGCATACATGGGACTACCTACCGCTGAAGCGTAAGGTATCCTACTCATGCGTTCTTTCTGCTCAGGAGTCTTAGGAGACTGCTCCTTAGAGAGATGAATCCCATGCCTGAAGGGTAGAATTCCCTTCTTGGAATTCTACATGCTGAACCTGGCAAGTATTTTGTCAATGTAGTTAGCCTGGGATAATGCCAATACCT